AGCGGTGTTTATGGCCTTCAATTCATGAAGAGAAAATAATTCCAAATGATGTTCCACAAGGTCATTTAGCAGTCTATGTAGGAGAGTATCACAAGAGGTATGTAATCAAAGTGACCTTACTTGATCATCCACTCTTCAAGACATTGCTGGATCAAGCCCAGGAAGTATACGATTTCACTGCTGATTCAAAACTCCGGATTCCGTGCAATGAGAATATCTTCCTGAGTATCGTGCAGTGTGCCACACACGATCAATCCATATCGCTCTGCCTATAATGGACCCTTAGTCCGTCATTAGGTATATTTGATATGCAATAATGGACACGATTGGATAGTACAATATTGTATAAGATTAGTGTCTAGAATTGTACCACTCACCTTACCTATAACTCAGGATGACATGTTGAGCACCATACAGTATTCTAAAAAAACGTAATGCGTGGAAGCCAAGTTATGGACTTGGCGAGCTTAAGCGTAAAAAGACCTTTTTTTTTAAATCAATAAAAAAATTGTTTAATAATTAAAAATAATACCTACCAAACATCTAAAACAAATTTATTGGAAATTAATATATTTTTTCAAAATTTTCAACAAAAAGATAAGTTCCAAATGTAAATATTAAATAGTAAATACATATGAATTTTTGGGAGATTTTTTTTGTTCAATGCTTCAAGCGACTATTTTGAATTTAGAACCGACGAAGCGAAGAAATCAACATTTAAGTTTTAACTTAGAGAAATTGTAATAAAAAAAGGGGGATAATTATGTGTGTCTAGGTGCATATAACCGCGCTTAGCGCGCATTAGCAGTTAATTATTGTTGTTGACCGCTAAATAAGGTGCCAAGCCAAGTGGTTTGGCGTTTTCTGCCGCACATTGGTGCCAGTGTGCGCCTTTTAGAACATTGGCACAATGTAATGTTGTATTACAAATTCATTACTCGGCTGCAATGGAATGCTGGAGTCATTTATCAACCTTACTCAAATATGGGGTGCAACCGAGAGAAAAGTAGTGCCTACAATCTAAACTGAGGATAGGTTTAGCTCACCCTCGCAAAATTGCGACCTTTTTTCCTGGCCACCGTAGCACGTGTGTCGACCAGGACATAAAGGATTCAGACATTTGAACAACAATATCATCCTTCCAGTATTTCTTTATCTAAAGATCGATCACAATGGCCAGACTCAACCTTGATGATTTCTACATTAATTTAACCATTTAAAAACCTACTAACTCAATTGACTGGACCAAAACAAAACCAACAATTGCTAGTTTGATTTACAATGATTTTTTGCTAATGTCCTCAAATTAATCACTCTGAGTCTAATCTAATTAATCCTGCCTCACCTCTGTTGTGCCACTGTTTTTAGCCTCTGGAATTCTTATTTTTTATTTTTTCCCTATTCTATACTTCTGCCTCACGATGAAGTTTTAATTATGATTTCTTCAACACAAAGTGGCTTATTATGTGTTCCAAGATAAAAAAAAAAAAAAAAAAAACTGTTAATTGAGTATGGACTAGGTCACAAAGAAATCGTGCTTTTTGTGAAATACGCTTTTAACGTCTCAAAGGATTGAGTATCAGTCGTAAACGTGGCTGATCCTCAACCCTTGGATCCCGTCCTTTGGTTGACCAGATATTTTAACTTGGTTTTGGCTCTTCATTCGTGTAGAAGTTTCATGACTCTTTCTCTCTCTGACCTTTCCCTTTTTCTGAGTGCAGTTAGGGTTTGATGAATTCTTTCTCTCTGTAAATTTGATCTTCATCTTAGTGGTGATTCTTTCATACGTTATGTAAATGAGAGTTGAGTGCTTTCATGGTAGAAGTTAATCTTTGTGATTTCCTATAGTGAAGAGGCTGGAGAGATATATCGAAGAGACATTTTGTTTCTTCGTACATTTGTAACATTTCTTGGTTCTTCTTAGTGGATCTTGAGCTCTATCTATTTATAGATGCTCAACAGGTGATTAGACCTAAAGGCTGAACATTCGGGCCCCTTTTTGGGGTGAAAAATTCTTGTGTTGATCTTTTATTATTTCTGCAATTTATTTTAAACGTCAAAATCACGAAATAATTTCGATCTGGACCTTAACAGTGGTAGAGCGAATTATTGTGTGGAAAATCTTATCTGTCTTTTCGTCTCTAAAATTTCTTTTGTTCTCTGTTTGTATATTGCAGATCTCAAACCTTCGAATTAATTTTTTTTTTATAAATTGTTGTTTTACACAATCGAAGTTATTTTTCAGAAAATAGTAAACTGCCTTCTTTGAAAATTCTATAATTCGGAGTTGAACTCGATTTTTTGATTTACTGTCTCTACTGGAATTCTGAAGTTTTTTATTTTTTTTATGAACTGTTGGTTATTCTTGTTCTAACTTGTTATGGTGACTCGTGATGAATTGTGCTGACTCACTAAGTGTTCTGTTGAGTTCTACTTTTCTTGTTGAGTCAGTACTGAGTCTTGGTGACTCGCTGGTTTTTCTTGAACTTGGATTCTTGAGCTCGATTTGTATCACGCATATTCTTAGTGTTTCCCTTAATCCGAAACTGTCGAGTTTCAGGCTCTGATATTTTTCTTTGAACCCCCTCTATAAACTGTCATTTTCTTGGTGTTTTGGGAATTGGTTATTAAGGTAAGTAATTCTCCATTACTTTTCTTTGTCCAAGATCTCATGCAATGATCTGAGAATCTGAGGGAGTAGTGGAATTAAGAATTATCAGCCCTTAAACCTTTTTCGAAACATCATTTATTGACTACTTGAATTGTATAATAAGTAGGCATAAACAGGCATAAACTCTAGACTATCCTGCATTATTATCTGGTTTTTTGTTTTACTAAGTATAATAACTTGCCTGAATCATTATACTCTAAGTGTTGTATGATAGTTGCTGTGCGCTAGGAATCTGTCATTATGTCCACTACTCATAAATTTGAACTTGGAACTTGGTCTGGCACTGGAGACTTCAGTCTCTGGCGCTAGAAGATGGGGGCATTACTTTTACAACAAAGATGTGCTGCAGCCCTTGATGGTCAATGGGCTGCAGAAATAAGTGTCTATTGGAGACAAGAGTTAGATGATACTGCATGGAGTACAATCTTCTTTCACTTATCTGATAGTGTTATTAGAAAAGTAGGAGAAACCACCTTTGCTGCTGCATTGTGGACTAAATTGGAAACTCTGTATCTAACCAAAACCATGCCAAATAAATGTTATCTTCTTAGGCAATTCTATAACTTCAGGTTTGATCCCTCATCTAATCTAGAAGAAAACCTTGACAGATTTAATAAATTGATTCAGGATTTAGATAACTGTGATGAGGAAATTTCTGATGATCAACAAGTTGTTGATCTTTTAAACTCACTAAGTGAAAAGTATAAAGACCTCAGAAATGCCGTGGAATATGGGGGTCAAGAACTTACCATAGATAAGATAATTGTAGCCTTAAGAAATAAAGAACTTGAACTAAAGGCTGAATCAAAATATCTTAAGTATGGTGAAGGGTTGTACATAAAAGAAAGGGTAAATCAAATCAAGAAACAATATCAACAAAGCTCTAATTTCCATAAGAAATGGAAATCTCCCAATCCCAAACCCAAAGAATAGAATAAAAATCATGTGAAGACAAAAAATCATATCAGAAAGTGTTATTATTGTGGAAAGACTGGACATCTAATAAAAGATTGTTTTAAGAAAATTTCTGATATGAAAGAAAGAAATAATCCAGATGGTTCTGTAGCTGTGCCCTGCAGAAACGAACCTGACATTCAAGGTGTTGTTCTTGTTAACACCTCCTCTAGAGACCCAAAAGAATGGGTCCTGGATTCAGGATGTACATTTCACATGTGTCTCAAAAGAGAGTGATTTTCTGAATTTGTTGAACTTAGTGGAGGGCAAATTCAATGAGAAATGATATGAGTTGTCAAATAAAGGGAAATGGAAAGGTTGAGTTGAAGTTAGAGAATAACTATATACTTGAACTACAGAACACCGGGTATGTGCCTGAACTTAGAAGGAACCTTATTTCCTTAGGAGAGCTTGATGATAAATACACTATTATGATAAATAAAGGCCTCCTAGAACTACAACAAGGAAATAAAATTGTATTGTCCTCTCCTAAAACAAATGGTATATATACCATTATTGCAGAATCAATTGCCAATCACTGCAGTGCAGCCTTAAACTCTGAAATGAATAAGTCCTTAATTTGGCACAAAAGACTTGGCCACATTTCTGAAAAGGGACTAAATATTTTGAAAAGACTTGGTTGTTTTGAAAATGATAAAATTGAAGGGTTGGAATTTTGTGAAAACTGTATACTAGGAAAACAGAAAAGATTACCTTTCAAAACTGGAATCCATAAATCCACTTCAATTCTGGAATATTTACATGTTGACCTCTGGGGCACAGCATCCTTAAGTGGATTTAGATACTATTTACTAATTGTTGATGATTTCTCAAGAACAATCTGGACTTTCTTGATGAAACAAAAATATGATACTTTTCATACCTTCAAACAATCGAAACTCATAATTGAAAATCAAACCAACGAAAATTAAAGCATTAAGAACTGATAATGGACTTGAATTTTGCAACCATGAATTTGATACATTTTGCAAAGAATTTGGTATTCTAAGACACAGAACTGTTACACATACTCCTCAGCAAAATGGAGTTGTTGAGAGAATGAATAAATATCTATTGGAAAAAGTGAGATGTATGTTATACAGTTATGGTCTTCCAAAGTTTTTCTGGGGAGAAGCCCTAAAAACAGCAACTTTTCTAATAAATAGAAGTCCATCCAGCGCTATTGATTTCCAAGTCCCTGAAAAACTGTAGTCTAGACATACACCTGATTACAATAAACTTAAAGTTTTTGGCTGCTCTGCCTACTCACATCAAAGTGAAGGCAAACTTGAACCAAGGTCCTTCAAATGTATTTTTCTGGGCTATGGGGAGGAAACTAAAGGGTATAGACTGTGGGTCAAAAGCTAGAGTGGTTTTAAGGTGATTATTAGTAGAAATATCATTTTTAATGAGGAAGAAATGTCCTGTAAAGAATCACTTGATGAAAAAGTCATTGAAAATGCACCTATAAGGGAAACCATTTTACAAAGTCAAATTGAAAATACCAATAATCAAGATAATCAAATTGAGGTGGAGTCCACTCAATCTGATGATAACAATGAGCAAGATGAACATGAACATGAAAACGAAATCATTGATCCTACTCTAGAAGATTATCAATTAACTAGAGACAAAGAAAGGAGAACAATAATTCCCTCCTCCAAATTTAACAATGATGATTTCGTTACTCTATTTTCTGCCCTTGATTCTTTAAACTCTGAACCTACAACTTATGATGAAGCTATTACTCATCCAGATTCTGATTTGTGGAAAAAAGCAATGAATGAAGAAATGGAATCACTTATTAAAAATAGAACTTGAATTCTTGTTGATAAACCTGAAAATCATAAGATAGTAGATTGTAAACGGATTTTCAAAATTAAACAAAGAGATATAAATTCTGAAGATAAAAGATATAAGGTCAGATTAGTAGCCAAGGGTCTTACTTAGAAAGAAGGAATTGATTATAATGAAATATTTTCACCTGTGGCAAAATATACTTCAACCAAAATATTACTTGCTCTAATTGCCCATTTTAATTGGGAATTGGAACAACCTGATGTCAAAACAGCATTTCTAAATGGTGATCTTGATGAGATAATATATATGAAGCAGCTCATGGGGTTTGAAGTAAGATCCAAAATTTAAAAGGTGTGCCTGTTAAAGAAATCACTTTATGGGCTGAAACAAGCCCCTAGGCAATGGTATATTAAATTCAATTCCTATTTGCAGACATTGGGGTTTGTAAAAAGCAAATATAATACCTGCCTATTTTATAAAGGCTCTGGAGGGCCTAAATCGATTTATCTGCTACTATATGTTGATAATATGTTACTTGCCCGTCATGATAAATCTGAAATTGACGCTATTAAATCAAAATTGAAGTCTGAATTTGAAATGAAAGACTTAGGGTAAGCTAAAAGGATACTTGGAATGGAAATAGAAAGAGATATGCATAATGGTATCTTGGTTTTAAAACAAAACTCTTATGTGAAGAAAATTTTTGAAAAATTCTCTATGCTTGAGTCCAAACCTACTACTTTACCCATTACAAATCATTTCAAACTCTTAAGTGAATTTTCACCAAAAACAAACAAAGAATTTAAAAGAATGGAGAAAATTCATTATGCTAATGCTGTGGGATCAATAATGTATCTTATGGTCTGCACGAGGCCTGATTTGGCACATGAAATTAGTATATTTAGTAGATTCATGGAAAATCCAGGTGAGACACACTGATTAGCCATGAAATGGATGATGAGGTATCTAAAGGGCTTAACTGATCTTGTTTTAGTGTATAAAAGGTGCAAAGAAGGTGTAATATTGAAGGGTTACACTGATTCTGACTTTGCTGGTGACTTAGATAAAAGAAGATCCACATTTGCATACATTTTCACTTTGTGTGATGATTGTATTAGTTGGAAGTCACAATTACAAAAACTGATTGCTTTGTCCTCTACTGAAACTGAATATATAGCTGCATGTGATGCTGTGAAAGAAGCAATTTGGCTAAGAGGTTTATTAAATGAAATAAGTTTCATTAATGATTCTGTAAGGATTTATACTGATAATCAGAGTGCCATACATTTAAGTAGGAATCCTGTATATCATGACAGGACCAAGCACATAGATATAAAGTATCATTTTGTAAGAAATATGACAAAAAAAGGTATGATTAAACTGATAAAAAATACCTTCAGATCTGGGGACAAAGGTATTATCTTTAAATAAATTCAAAACTTGCTTGAAGATTCTTAATATCACTTGAGGAAGTGGTATTCAGATTCTTCAAGCACAAATTTGTATTATATGTTCTAACTGAAATTTTTTGTTTTTACATGAACTTAGAGCAAAGAAAGTAATCATATGTAGAGTACAAGATCCACTATCAAGCGCCAAAAGAATTGTTCAGCAAGGTGGAGAATGTTAAACTAATTTCTTTTAGGCTGCCTCACAAACTTTTGGCCCATTGAGTATGGACCGGGTCACAAAGAAATCGTGCTTTTTGTGAAATACGCTTTTAATGCCTCAAAGGATTGAATATCAGTCGTAAACGTGGCTGATCCTCAACCCTTGGATCCCATCTTTTGGTTGACCAGATATTTTAACTTGGTTTTGGCTCTTCATTCGTGTAGAAGTTTCATGACTCTTTTTCTCTCTGACCTTTCCCTTTTTCTGAGTGCAGTTAGGGTTTGATGAATTCTTTCTCTCTGTAAATTTGATCTTCATCTTAGTGGTGATTCTTTCATACGTTATGTAAATGAGAGTTGAGTGCTTTCATGGTAGAAGTTGATCTTTGTGATTTCCTATAGTGAAGAGGCTGGAGAGATATATCGAAGAGACATTTTGTTTCTTCGTACATTTGTAACATTTCTTGGTTCTTCTTAGTGGATCTTGAACTCTATCTATTTACAGATGCTCAACGGGTGATTAGGCATAAAGGCTGAACATCCGGGCCCCTTTTTAGGGCGAAAAATTCTTGCGTTGATCTTTTATTATTTCTGCAATTTATTTTAAACGTCAAAACAACAAAATAATTTCGATCTGAACCTTAACACTAATAGCATCACTAGATAACCAAAATGTAGATTGCTGCATTTCACAGAAGTTAGCTTGATTTTATCAGACCTGACATCGTTGATGCCTAGTCAGTTAATGTGGGACCCCCTCCATCGCATGCATATCACATAATTTATAGATATAACGAATACTTCACATCGCCATGGTATGAAAATAAACCCATAGCCAAGAATCTATCCAGTTTCTTTCTCATTCATACTCGGTTCTTATTTTTTCGGCAACAAACTTTATCTCGGTTACATTTGCAAGCTAACGGTGCTCAAGTGTTCAAGCATTACAAGTGGACATGGTGGTAATAAGAATCTATTGGCAGCTCTATCTTACCAGATTTTGCTGTCTATAAATATTGTAATACATATATAACAAATACTAAAGTACTCATCTTTCTGTTTTCATGGCGTCACCGTTTTAGACAAATGATGAATTACTGGTAGCTCCATATGTTTTTTGTTTATGGATTAGATATAGAATACTGCGACAAAAATAACTTTAGAACAACGAGGTAAAAGACCGTTCCGTGAGTTATAACGTCACCAATATTTATGCCCCACAAGTTTTCATTGCTTCTCAATATGACCTGTAAAGTTGAAAGGGTGAAGCAGCTAAAATGGCAATAAATATATTTCCACCTTTTCCCCGCCAATTTTGTATACATTCAGTACATTACATCCTATGTATACATGATAAAAGTACATGAAAACTAAATCATCAACAAAGATTCAATACAAGAGAGGGCAAGCAATTTCGTAGCAGCCGGGTGTATCTCGACGCCAAGTACGAGTCATTACACAAAATCAAGCAACCCACAAAGCATTTGACACCGGCTTCCATGAACAGAAAACAAAGGTTACAAGCCCTAGGAAGGTGATGGTGGGACCTTGTGCAGCCCAGTTCCGACTTCCTGAGACCCAACTGGTTTATTTGACAAACGACATTTCTAGCATTTGGTTACAGAAGCCAATTTTCTTTTCCCTTGGGGAAAGAGAGAGGTTACAAGCCCTGGGAAGGTGACGGTGGGCCCTTGTGCAGCCCAGTTCCGACATCCTGAGACCCGACTGGTTTATTTGACAAACGACGTTTGTAGCGTTTGAGTACAGATACCAAATTTCCTTTTCCCTTGGGGAAAGCCACATCACCAGCTGCAGTGCCCGTACGACCCTTTCGGCAAGATATAGCAGTTTCAACATTTTTTATGACATCTAAAAGCATTGCTGCAGTTGTAAATTTTCCCCGAACCGGTTTTGGAGGAGGGGGCAAGCTCCCATTTGAAATTGGAGGACTTGACCTTTGCTGGTATTCTACTGAAAGCTGAAGGCAGAAACAGGGAGCCATTGGAGCACGAGGTTTCGTAAAGGCTAGATCAATAATCCCCTGCCAAAGATGTATTTATGTCATCAAAGGCCATTGAGAAAACTCCGGACAACAAACCAAAAATCTTATTCATGATAAAAAACAAAAGTGAAAGCCATTTACCGTCTATAACCAAAAAGCATTTCAAAGTTCAATTTTCTCGATAAAACACCACCTCTCTGTTTGAGAAATAGTTCTCTCTCAAAAAGAAGATTAAAGATAGAGATCTAGTGGTTTCAAGTCCCAGAATAACCAGTTCAAAAATACAAGTAAACAGTGTTTGGCACAGGTCGGTTCGAGCCGATTCCAAAGAGAAACAAAACCAAGAATTAGTTGTAAATGGAATCGTTGGGTCCAACTTTAATTATGGAACTGGATCCTGACCGTTTGGTTTGGTTCAGATCCATTTTGTTAGGTTCCGTACCATAATAAAAATTTTCAATGTTTCCATATTTCCAACAACTATTCCATTCTCGTAAAGTTTGAAACAATGCAACATTAACCTAACAAATGATAGGTTTCATCTTACAAAATAACAAATATAGTCCAAATTTAATTAAAAACAAAACAAGTTGTCTAATAACATTCATTCACAATTGTATACAACATCTGACACAGAACTGGTGGTGAATGAGCAAAATTTTTCCTAGAAAAATATTAAGGACCCGTTTGTTGCAGATTGTTTGAGATTAAATTTTGTGAAAAGTAATATTTTTAAAGAATATATGGTTAAAAAGTAAGGAAAGTCACTTGAAAAATTATTTTATTGAGAGAATGTATGGTTGAAATTTTTTAGTGAGTTCGGGAAAAATGAGTTTTAAATGAATCTACACCAAACAATGGTCAAAATATTTTGCAGATTCGATATCAAAATATAATAAATAAATAAATTAGGAGACTCAGTTCTAGGTCAAGACTTAAGAAAAGAACCGAACCGAACCGAACCCCTCGGTTCTTCATTCTAATACCCATAATTTGACCTAAGAAGAACCTAACCTAACTGCTCTGTTTGGGTCCCCAATTCGGTCCAGGAGTTGCGTCCACCCCTGTGTGTAAGTGATGTCTTAATGTTGCCAAAGTTCAAGCCATTTGGAGTACAAGGACATAATGAGTACAGGGGGATTACTTTATTGAACAAATATCCTAATAGCAGCACTAACTGCCCACTCCAAACACCTCACACCAACCCAAAAACCCCAAGAAAATATCTAAGAATTCTTGTATAAATACTTTTGATATTCATGAGCTTGATACAATACGAATACATGTTCCTTGCAGGAAGCAATTCGTCTAAAGGAAAATTAATTAGCAAAATGACTGGTTTTCTATTTGGTATAGAAGAAAGAGGTGAGAAGAACGAAACAGTAACAAAGAAATTAAGAGTGAAATGAGAACTAAAGAAAGTACAGATGGAAATAAGTGAAAGAATAGCATTTACCTGAAGACGATTAAGTACATATGTGTACTTTCCCCAGAGTTCCGGCCTGCTTTCCACGAGTGAAAGATCAAGAATCCTGTGAATGCACCATACCCCAAAGCTAACAACAAGATCCACTCTCCAAACACATGCATCACCACAATTAGGAAATGACGGCAACTTCATATAGTCTGTCTCGTCTATCTTTATTCCAGAACCAAGCTTCCTGTCTAAATCCCTAGTTTCAACGTCATACAGGACTCTCTCCCTTACAGCCACTCGATCTATAAGATCCTCATCGGCTCCATCATTTTGACTAAACAACCAATCAGATCCTTCCAACTTCAGAAGCTTTAAAATGCAACTTCTGAAAGACTGCAGAAGCTTTGCTTCCAAGTCAATCGTAGTTTCAGATTCTAGAATTTTGGAAGGAGATTTAACAGCCACGCCAAATTGTTCATAAGGCTGCTTAGACCACAAGGAACCGGCCGCTGAACTTGAACCAAATTGTAAGGAAAAAGCATCTCTACAGACTTTTGAAGGAGAGAGTTCACCAAATCCCAAAGCAGTACCGGCCAACGAAGAAGCACTGGAACAGGTTTGCACAGGTGCTAGGCGGCTAATGGATTGCCCATATCCAACCTGATTCTTCCATTGAGAGCTGTTACCAGACAGAGAATAGTCTTGCCGTGGGATACAAAGTCCTGACATGTCAGGTAAACTGTAATATTTCTTCACATTGACTGAACTATTAGTGTTATCCACAGGTTCAGGAGAGGAAAGGTCGTAAACTGCTCTTTCAGATTTCAATGAACTGTTTCGAGAAATAGGAACGTTATGAAAACCAGGTGGCCTGAAAGTGCTCAACCCGCTCTGCGGCTTCTGTCTTGACAGACGAGCAAATGAATCTGCGTAGTTTGATTTGATCAAGGGTGAGGACTTCTGGTTTAATGACTCCAATTGAGCATTTATATAATCAGATTCTTTTTCTTTAGACAATCGACTGAGATAGGAAGCCAATTGATAACCATGAATAGTGACTGGCTGTTGGTTATAGCCAACAGAAGATGCTGGAACATGCATACTGTAATAGCGCCTCTCAGCAGAGTCAAGTGCATTGTGGCTGGAACTTTGCGTGTTGGCATCAAATAATTGCAATTGAGTTGACCACATTGGTGACCCCTGCTGAACCCCAAGAGAGGACTCCACACCACTATGTCCAATCTGTTGAAGGGGAGGACTGTAAAGACTTGAAGTTCTCAAGTCAGATCCTCTTCCACACATAGTTGAAGAATAGCTTGGAGAATATCCAGTAGACTCTGTAGTAATGCCTTCTCCTTTAACTGATGCAAAGGATGATTTTGGATCTACCTTCGAATCAATCCCCAGCAAAACATCCAGTTTCTTAACCTTGGCTTCTTGTGTGGCTTGCCCATGCAAATCAAACAGCTGTCCCCAAAATTCACCAAGAACTTCAGTCAATTGGCGCCTTGCGGCACGGCCTAGTCCTGCTAATCCCGATAGACTTCCAGGACAACTTCCTAAATCATCACCTTTTCCGCTAAGACTTCTAAATGATCCTGGGCCTTCAGAATTCAAAGACTGGATGCTTTCAGATACATCTTTAGTAGATTCTTTTGGCTCCAAAGGTTCTCCTTCATCATCCCTCTCATTCTGGTTACTTCCCTCTATACTCAATGTCTTTTCCACAATGTCCTTTGTCTCACTGTTGAAGGTGATGGCATCTGTAGATACATCTTCAAGAACCTTGCAAACAGGTTTAGCCATAGCTGTCTCTCCAAGGGTTGAAGACGCCTCAGGAGAGCACACAGAAAGACCTGATAATGTGATTTCAGATTTATTCTTCTCAATTGTGGTCAAATGAAGATTACTCTCAGAATCCAACAGCATTTCCGTCGATTTTAAACCAGGACTTTGAACTGATGCGTTTTGATGGCTTCCAAAAGATTTATCCAACAACAATGCAGGAACTTGCTCCTCCGTCGCCTTATCTATTTGATATTGGGCTTCACTAATTTCTAACTGATCTCTCTCTGCAGATGCCTCTGGCACAGAAAATTTGACCTCCCAGTTATCTACTCTGGAACTTGCAGATTTCAATGGAGTGGTTGCCAGCCAAAGCATCAAACAGATAAAGAAAGAAGCCGTTGCCAGAAGAATAAGATAAGAAATAGGCATGCTACCCCCTAGGCTCCACTTCAAATTAGTAACCCAATCACTATTGCCAAATATCATCTCTATTACAAAAATAATCTTCAGCCCCAGCATCCCAATAAATGAGACTAAAGCGAAAAACTCAACCAGCTGAGAAACTTTATAAGCACCCATAATTGATCTGGATGAAGCAACTCGGAATAGAGGAATAACAGAAGATGGGAGCAGAAGAGCAACCATAACCTGTGTAAAGATCAGGAGTTGATATATACCTTCAGCTCCTGAATTCCACACACAATAAAGGGCTGGAATGATGGCAATTATTCTGATGGTTGCACGATGAAGCCAACCAGGAATGTCCATTCCAAAGAAATCATGGATAATTACTTGCCTACCACGACTCCATGTTATTGCTATTATTTGATTAGAGAAAAACAATATCAGTATCAAGGCCAAAGAAGTTACTGAACTCTTGAATACCTGCATTATTATAACAGAGCTCCATTAGAATGTAAACATGAGAAAACGACAACTGAATATGGCTGACAGGGAACAATTTCTAGCATATCCAACCTCAACCTGATCCAACAATGACAATGCATCCTGAAAAGTGAGCAAAACGAGGTCTGTACTGTGGAACACATTGGCTGCCAAGTTCACTAGCACACAGTTCACCAGAAAAATGCCACTGAAGACGCATAAAGTAGCAATAAAATGGTCATGGCACAAGGCCCCTATAGAAACAGTAGTTGGCCCTTGATCTTGCTGCAAAATAAAGGAATGATGGAAAAAGAGCAGAGTTCTGTTAATCTATAAAGAAAAAATAACCAACATAAAAAAGGGGGGAAAAGAGAGAGAGAAAGACACACGTGCACCCTAGCCACTACTAACCCAAAGTGTTATTGACTACAAAAGCTTGATGTCGATCAGAAAAATCATTAAAAGAAGTCATTGTCGGAGCACTCTATCTACCAGTAACTCAAGGTGTGCACTGTACAGGTGTAAACAAGCATAAGATGATATGAAGGAGATTATGTCAAATGCACAAAATTTCTCAAGTTGACAACTTAATAACAATCCAGATCACAATATGTCAATCACGAAAATAGATCTAAGGGAAAGTGCCCACAAATTTTCGGGGAATGAGCGACATGGTGACAATTCACAATGATCATAATTTCTACTTTCCATAGACCAAAAATTGAAGAAATTGTCTTGAAGGTATAAAAGCATCATGGCAGAATAATTTTCTAAAGAATCCTGTAATCGAAGGAATAGCCACAGCTTGGAAGTGCTGCCAAAGTGCGGCAAACATGAATCCCACAAAAATAAAAAGAATATATGCATGCTTGCACAAATGCTAGTGCAAATGATCACACATGCGCACACAGTCACGCCCGCGCAGAGAGAGAGAGAGAGACCTGTACAATAGAAGAATGAAGGTAAAAATTGTGAGGCGTTATACTTGCTCCAATGAGACTCATCAAGGCATATGCACTTTCCCCACTCAACTTTGTAAGCATCCCACCCATGGAAAATGAGCTTTCTGGTTGACTTATCAGAGCTCCAAAAACATAAGATAATAGAATTAAGCTTGTCAAGCATATGGATAAGAACTTTGCCTTGCGATTCTCCTGGAACCATATCAATGAACTCAGACAACTATTTAAATTTGTATTGGTAATGCTTTAAAAATTGTAATAAAATGAAATTAGCAAAACTTACAAGAAGGGTATCAAGAAATGGAAATAGAATGGCATCGATGCCTGTTAAGAAAACACAGCTAAATAGATCGATTCCTAAGATAGCATTAAGTCCGTAAGCAGTACCCAGAACCTACCAGAATAAGTTATATGTATCATCAATAAGACAAAGATAGTGGAAAAGGCAACAGCTAACTTCAAATGGTTTTAAGAAAAGAGAAGAAAAGGAAAATCACCATCATAAGGTCCAATGCAATTATCGAGATCTCAGCTTGAACTCCTAAGAATGCGCATGTTATGTTGTCATATTCCTCACTGCAAATCTTTGACAACAGCAAGTACGATCAGTTAGCATATTGTTCAACATTTACGTAAAATAACAAACTCTCAAGCAGAATAAAGCATAAATTTTAGATTTAAAAAATAATGAACAGTCAATTGGAAGAAAGAGGGAGGAGAGGAGGGAGACCAATCGAACTCTAAATACCAATATATTATTAGGAGAAACATATAACTTGCAATCTGGTACATTATATACCCCTAGGAAACATATCATAGTTCTTAAGATTAGAAGCTCATAAGAATTGGGGAACATTTTAACCTTTCACCAGATGAAGGAATATACACATGCAAAATAAGATGCTGAAGGCGAAAGACTACCTGTGCAAGATCTTTGCCAGTGACCACAGCAATACAAGCTGAGAGGTACTGACACAGAATTGCGACGCAATTAAATACAAGCATGAGTAACAGCACATCAGAACCGAAGCGAGCTCCCCCCTCAACAGTTGCAGCCCACTTTCCAGGGTCTATATAGCTGATAGCAATCCAAACCACAGGTACAGCAGAAGCAAGCACCCGCTGAAGAACGTTTGGCCGATGGCCCGTGCTCAAAGTCTCAGATTCCATTTTTTAATTAATCAGATGTAAAAACATAGCATTATCATCTGTTCACACTTCCAGCGCAGCTGGAAAAATGACCAAACATTACCAAGCTCAGTAATTAGATATGCCAGTTGCAAACAGACAATGCACTCCAACCTCTAAAAGGCTGGGTATGAAATCAATTAGAAACCACTGTATTCATAATATAACCAAAACCTATAATTGCATATCTTCCAAGAGGGCCAGACCACGATCTTACACGTTCATCCATACAAATTCCTGTATCATTTCACTATTCACATGAGAACTGCAGAGACAACAGATCTTTTGACACCAGTAATGTTCACAATTAAAATACCTTCATCTTGAGGTAGAACTGATTTCACTCCTGCCAAAAGAAGATAAGTTTTGTCTGAATTGAATTCTTCTTCTTTGCCTGATGATGAGAAGAGCATAGGTTGAATGGTGCTTCTGACCACCAATTATCTCATTAAATCACAGAATGAGATTATGATCTCTGCTCAAAAACTTCAAAAAGATAAACACTGCTAAAATGCTTCAATGTCAAACTCCACTAACCATCCTGATTCAATAAAGCAACTTCAAATATGAACGTAATATCAAGAATGTAGGTAATATATCAAGATCTGAGCATCATGACATGTTCAAATGCTGTACAAAAGCAAGAACTTGAGGATATCAACAATTGTTATCATCCTCAAAAAATGCATCGATATTTATAAAAAATAGAAAGCTGAGTATTAACTACGAGAAAGTCGAATCCCAATTGAACAACTTAGATTTAATGAGGCTACGTTTGCGAGCATTTGGAACCTCAATATTCAAATTCGAAATAATTACTTTCTCGTTAAAAAATGATGTTTAAAGAATCATATTTTGTCACCCCAACCCCGTTAACCAAATATTGCACAAGGTCAACTGAAAATGATGTTGGAAATCAACATCTATAAAAAGTATAAACATATCAGAAATCCAATAGGCATACAAAAAATTGAACCTGACAAATTTATTGTAAACTAAGACAAAAGAATCAAAGCTTTCAATAAGAGATTACGCATATGAGTAAAACTTAACAATACGATACATTCATGGGTGTATACGAGTTAAATTCAATCACTACAACTAATAGCAGATTCGTTTCTCTTTGCTTATTAACTTGTGAAGTCAAAGTCATACAGAAAATAAAACAAACCCCCAAAATGGGATTCAACAACTTAGTAAAAGAAACAAACCAAACCAAAATAAAATTGAAACCTGAAACTGCCAATTGGAAAACAATACCACGCTTCAAATCTACCATATCATCACAACATGGATAATTACAAAGCCAAAATTTCACAAACAACACCAAAAACCAAAAAGACTTGATTTTTCGCGCAAAAACCCCAGAACCCAAAAGCCTATACCAGAAGCTGAAACAAAAGAACAAAACAAAAAAGTCCACGCACACTCAATTTAACACTCACTGTGATGGATCTGAAATTGGTAGAAAAATAAATAAGGAAGATTTCACTGAATAAATATTTATACTTCTACATGTACATAAACACGAAAGTTAACTAATTTGTACGTATTGTACACATACGGAGATTGGACAAGTGTATACAACTTTTTAGGTTTTTTTCTCCATTTCTCTTGATTTTACCTTTCTGGATTCCTCTTTTTGTGCTCAGAGTTAGATATGAGGCTTTCAGGAAGCCACGCGTTCACAGATACCTAACTGAGAGAGAGAATAAACTGTAGATATACAAAGAGATAGACCATGAGCTGGGAGAGTGTAGATAAAGTACAAAAATATAGAGAGAAGGGTTGGGGGGCGGGTGTGGGAATATTTTTGTTTTATAACAATGAAAACATTAGTGTCAGGTTCAGTTATTTTGCATTAATTTGATAACATTAATGATAATATTTTGTTTATATTAATAAATAACACATGTCAACTGATACCATAATTGTGAGGAAACAATGAATTTTTTAAGAAGAAAGTTACTTTTAGGGTTTGTCTATATATAAAACGTGGTTAACGATTCCTTCACAAGGAAGGGCTCATAATTTTTTTATTCCTCGTGAGCTCTTGCCTGTGAGGGGGGTCTGTACACCGGATGATGGAAGTTAATATCTCGATGTACAAATAGAAAAACCCTTGTTTTTAAGAAGAAAGAGAGAGAGAAAATGAAAAAAATTAACAAATGAAAACGATGAAGGGAAAAGAACGGGACAGATGGACGGGATGAATAAGGTTGAAGATAAAGATGAATTGAGGAGATCTTTCACAATGATAAATTTAGGACTTTGAAAATGATTAATAATTCACTTTGACTGCTAAAACGGTGTCATCCCAAAAAAAAATCTGCCCGAAAAACATGCACCCCCGTGCAGTAACATAAATGACTAGTAAGTTTGTACCAACTTTTTTAAATACTAAGCTGTCTTTGCTTCACATTTGAGGCGAAATTCTATGTTCTCAAATCAGAATCCCATAAAGTAAGATTTATTATTTTGGTTAAAGCAATGGTCTTAATTTATTAAGAAAACAAACGATTTAATTAGTTGTTAGAAAAAAGTAGAATGAGAAAAGGAAAGGAAAGGATCCTTAAGTTAATTATAATTAGACAGAGAAAAAAATCTGTAAATCCTTGTTTTTCTATTTGAGCCAAACGAGAAAATTTTATGTATATGTTTCAACATAACTACTCGTCCATATAACTTATTTTTGTATCTAAAAGATTCTATAAGTGGAAATTATTGAATTTTTTTTTTCTCTAAATTGAACTAAACAACTTTGCTGACTCGAGAGATGTCACTAATAATCAAATAATTGTATTAAAATAACTTTTTGATTTAGTGCTTATTTGAATAACTTAAAAGCTTGATAAAAAATTTGAGGTTAAAATCAATTCATTTTAACCACACATTTTATGAATCACACAAATTTTCAATCACATATTTTATCAAGTTTTATCAAAACCTACTAAAATTTTTATTAGAAACTTATTCAAAAAAAAAAAAAAAAAAAAACCTTAATATCTTGAACAATCAAAACCAAGTTCTGTAATAGTTACGAATTTCTGACTTGTTAATATCCCTAGTTAAGTTGGCTTTTCCATTTTATATCAGAAAGAAAATGCTGTAAAAATTTTGCACGCTATTCTTCTCACAACTCACTACTAAAAAACAGAGTTTCAGGCACGGATTTTTCGTTCCTAAAGCCTCAATATCCGTTGCTAATAATTTTCACCAACGGAATATTTGCAACCACAAATCCGTTAGTAATTTGAGGGTCGTTGATAGTTACTGGATTTTTTTTAATTGATTATAAGTGATAAATTATATTTGTGTCATCGGCTATAACTTTTGAACAAGATGATGATAATATCCTACGTCAGGTTGACATCAAAGCTCAAAATCTCATGTGGTGAGTCAATGCGATTTTAGAATATTCTTATGGAGTGGGATGGATAATGTAGGAGTGTACTTGAAAATAGATTCGATGGACTGGACTTTGGGTGAATCCTAGACTTGATTTTGGTGATGTAGGGATGAATTGCATTTGTTGCATCCGTTACAACTTTTGAATAAAGTAGTTAATGACGTGATATATTTAGATCAATTTAACATGATTTTGTGTAGAGTAATTGCTAAAATTTGCTAAAAAAAAAATAATGGATAATTTTCATTGATTGAGCTTTGAAGCGCATTAAAGAGAGATCCTAGATTTGGCCATTGAGAGGGGACCATTTGTCTCATTGTCCCATAGGCCTCATTTTACGCAAATTGGTTGCCTAATGTCATGTCGTTACAACATCGACCTCGAAGTAAACGCCATCATCTAAAATTGACAATCCTGATTGCTTACTAAGGTTGACCATACAGGTCATCATACTTAATAGGTCACCGTTGGGGCATGGACAGTATTTCTAAATAGTGTGTCTAAGCGTCATTTAGGCTCAGAGCGTGGGCAAAACGCACTCTTTAGACTAGGCGTGCTCTTATTTATTATTATTATTTTTTTCTGCCCTTAGATGCGCCTAGGTGCACTTTTTCGCAGCCATACATACTTTTTTTTATTAATATAATATTTTATAGTTTTAGATGTTTAATATGTATTATTATAATTGTTAAATAATTTTAAGATTGATTAAAAATAATATTAAAATAAGCAACATTTTTATACTCCTAGACTCGCCTAACTCGAAAGTCAACCTTCGCCCCTAATTACTTCTTACTATTTTTAGAACATTGGCTCTAGGTCATGATTGCATGTGCTCTAGAGAATCATAAATTGTCTTTGATTGGTGGAGGATGAGGTGATGATATCATAGACGTCACCTATCGCTCTGGGAGTTGTAGACCAAGCGGTTATGGAGTTATGAGAGAACGACTTTTCATGGTGTCAATGATGTTATCCACATTTTAAGAGCGACCAATGTCCCACCTTCCTTCAAATTTGATAGTCCGATCTATTCGAGTGTTTTGATTGTTCCAATAGTGTTTCTTATTCCAGATCTTATTTGTGGAGATTACGAGGTAGTGTGAGATCGGACACCAACAAATATCAATGTCAAAAAATTGTGCTCTGTGTGTGTGTGTGTCTATATTTGAACGTCTATTTACTGATAAAAAAATTCATCAACTTATAAATACAAGTAGTGTTTTGCATTTTTTTTTCCTCCGTATTTTTCAATTATGTAGGGTTTTAGGACTGAGGTTATGGTTGGTTTTTCCTTGTTGGAATTAAAATTGAAAGGCATATTTGATAAGTGAAATGGATAAGAGTTTAATTTATTTTCGTTTAATCTTATTTACTAAGGACAATTCAATTTATTGACATATATCGTTAATGGGACAGTCTTAAAAAATTATCAAACTTAATCAATATACCATGCAAAGTACTCAATACTTATTATTATCGAAATGTCACGAGCATGCTACAAATTAGGTGCGTATATGCTGCATGAATCTTTGTGAACTTACTAGTGGCATTATATACAAAGGAATATTTTTACTTATAAGTCAATTTTATAAACTTAAACAACCACAATAATTCGGAGTCGATGTTCACAAACCATTTCATTCATTTTTCGGTAATTTAACATATTGTCCATTAATCACGACAAGTCCTATATAATTTCACGCACCAATGTGCTACACATGAGACCATGAAATCTTTAGGACTGGAGAATTCTTGGCAGTGAAGTGGAAAAATTAGAAAGATACAAGACTCGATGGAGACTTTTATGTATTTTTTGATCAATCTCTATATCAATTAATTGCGCTGCATGAATGGCATGAAAATGACAGGACAGATAATTTGCTTTAAATAGAGAATAAAAGAAGATAAAACTTTCAACTACTTCTAGGAAATTACTTTTCACTGACAATATTAAACTATGCTTGGTTTAGATAAAAATTAGATTTTTAATAAATTTTGATACAAATTGATAGATTGTGTAGTTGAAAAGTTGTGAATCTCATTAAATGTGTGTTTAAAATTAAATATTGACTTTAACTTAGATTTTAGCCAATTTTTTTTAGTTAACCGAACATGGGCTACTTATCTTTGGAATAATTTATAAGTCAAATCAATCACCTAGGCCCCGTTTAGCACATTAATGTAAAAATGAGAGTGAAAAATATAGTCTTTATAGGCCCCACAAAAGAGATAGAAAGTCAAATATTGTGATTTGATGTAATGGATAACAGTCATATTTTTTATTTTAATGAGCAAATAATGAAACAAATGGAGGCCTAATATGCCCATGTTTGGATTAGTTTAAGAGGTTGATAAAATTTAAATCAAAGTTAACAATTAATTTTAATACATATTTCATGCGATTCGTAGTTTTTATCAACTTTCAACTACACCAAATCAAATATGGGCTATATACCAAACCCAAATCCTAATCCTAAATACATTATTTTGATTTCAACTACATCTTGTTTGATTATTATTTTTTTCAAAATATATTTTTCCCTCACTTTTTTTTAATCACACACTATTCATTAAAATAATATTATATACAAATTTAAATTTTTTTCTTTATTTTTTTTACCACACATTCTTTATTAATCTAATATTTCAAAATACATTAAATATTATATTTAATAAATAAATATGTCATATTAATTGTTTCATTTAAAAGGTTAAATCATTGAAGAAAAAAATGGACATTTATTTATTGCACTCGTCTTTTAAACACTCTCATCACATTAAAGCTTGAAACATGACAACTTGTCAATGAG